TTCCACTTTTTTCAGTCGGAGATAATAAATGCGCTGTCTGTCCGGTTTCTGGGGTTTTCTTGGAGTTCTCCCCGGGCCGGGAAATACACACTCGGTGTGGCCTTTGTGCATTTGAGCACGGATGGATCTTGTTGCATCTCACTTTTCTGCGGCGGCAAGTAATGCAACTGCGAAAGACTCGGTTGAATGGGGGGGCGGATGCTACATCTCCGGGAGGCGGTGTCGGAGGATTGTCAGCCAAATGAGGAGTTTGCTGAAGACCCCCAGGTTGGGCGTCAGTAGAAGCACGAGGGGGTATCTCTGGTCGTTCCGTGACCGTCGACATTGTATACGAAGTAGGAGGTCAAAAATGCGCTAACCACTCAATTGAGGAGAGGGGTCGATGCGGGTAGAGACAAATCAAGTAGGCATGCCTGGGATCCAGCATATCATGACTTCTCCAGTTATTAGATCTCTAGTAATGCTTAAGATATACTGCGAGTCCAAAGGACATCCGATGGTTCGCAGAAGGAATAAGGACCTTCGGCACGGAATAGCTCGTCGATATCAATAGACAGTTTATTTTTGACTACCTTGGTATTCCTTTTAGCTGTTTCGTAGTGTGCTTTCGGCCACGACGGTTGTTGGCTGAATATATTCTTTTCCCGTGAGGTTGCAGGCTGGCATGGATTTGGACGACAAACCAGTCAAGTCACAAATCTGACGTCGAGCTCATTAACCTTTTTATCAACCGCTTGCTTCGAGAACTATGGCTAAAGTCGTCCAGACCAATCACAGAAGGCAAACAGCAACCCTCCAATTTATCCTCCTAGCGGCTACAGCGGTGGCATTTATTTATCCGGCGTGTTATATAGGCTTGTTTCAGCCGGCAGGGGGCCTTGCTAGCTGGGAGGGTTACACTTGGCCATCAAGACACTACTACGCCGTGTATGTACGTACTATGTATGTAGGAAAGGGCTATTAAAGAACAAGGTGGCACTCCATTTCCCGATCATTGTCGGCCTTTACACCCTCCGCGATAGTTCAGGGGGCCATCTCAAGTGCATGACCATCAGGTGTTTCTATATCTTTGTCCCTGACATCTATATTCCTTTTCTATGGGCCCTGCTTTCCCTGACGCATATAGGAGAGAAAGATGTCCCACAAGACCCACATTGCAGTCTGAAAATGGGCTGTTCATCTAATCTTCTCAAAACCTTCCAGCAACCTTGGAGTCATGGCTGCGAAGGCGTTCACTTTGACCTACTGCCAGATTTCACCATAGGTGTTTGGCTACCTAGCTTGCCTGAGATGCTGTCCACCTTCTCTCAGATCTCTCTCGCAACCAACTGAGTAGCCTACTCAAATGCGATGGATGCTGAAATCGCATCCATGGATGGGGCATAACTGCCTCTCGGGGTCAATCCAGTGCATGTCTTTTCCTGTCACTACTATTCTGTGGCGCAACCTCCAGAGGAGGTTCCCTGTCTTAGGGATACTCCAAGACATCCTTACTGCCTTCCACAGAGCACCAGGGGCCGCGGGAGGCATTTATTAATCAGCAAGGTGCCATCAGTATTAAAACAAATGAAAGAGCGCTACGTATCTGGACTTCCAAAAGATATCTATCATTACTCCAAATATCGTACTGTATATGTACTGTACATGTACTATACAAAATATCACTATTTTGTTTCTAGAAGCACCAAGGGCTTGATGATCTGGGGTTCTTGTGGCCACAGGCCTATGGAGATATGATTTCAGGGTTTGGAAGGGGTCAATACGTGGCTCATAAATGATCTTTCTACAATAACAAAGAGTAAATAGCGGTGAGGGGGTGCTAGGTTGATAGATTCCACGACGGAAATATGGCAGTAGTGATGAAACATGGCGATTAAGGCAACCTCGATCGTTTCATTCCATCACGCGTAGTGTGCAAGGGAAGCCGAAACGTTCTCAAAAAGTTTAAGAGAATGAAAAAAAGCTTGTATGAGTTTATGTGAATGAATAGGATAATAATATATCACAAAATCAAGATATCACCAACTCCTGTTTCAAAACATATGATTGCAATTAACAATAACAGTAAAACTCATATCACGAGTCCTTAAACTCTTTCACAGTCGTTGTAATAGCTGCTCCATCTAGTGATCATTTGAGAAGCTTCCGTCGTTCTGTGTCGTCGTCCTTGGCTGGCGCTCACGTGGCGGTTGCACAGTAGCGTAGTTATAACTCCTCCTGCGTGAATGGGAGTCGACATGGTGATTTTGCTGATAATAGGGATGTTCCGTGGAAAAGGAAGTGTTTGTGTAGGGTTGGTTGCCGGTATCTATTGGAGGGGAATATGAGGGCGCAGGCGTTGCATTATGATACGAATGGGAAGAAGGATATGCATTGGAAGTATATTGCCGGCGGGTGGGGCTGGACGCAAGTGAACAAGGACCGGTGCTAGGCGATAAGTTAGAGGTCCTATATATTTGTGGCTGTCGTTCAGGGATAGCTCCGGGCAGGGTCCGCGGACTGCTTGGCAACGCGTGTGGGTGCCCATAGGATTTCTGCTGTTTATCCGCATGGAATTCCGGAGTTGGGATTCGGACTTGAGAGGGTGAGGTTTTTGGTTTATCCCTGCCTGTATAAATGCTGATGGGCCCGCCGTTTCTTCTGTGATTGTTGCGTTCCTCTGTTACCGACGTATTGGCACTAGGAGAAAATCTAACTGTTTTTCCGCGTCTAGTTTGCGCATCAATATCGCTCGACTCTTCAGTATCGCTATCAACCCGCGCTTGAAGGCTAGAATAATCGTTTCGAAATTCAGTGGCGAGTTTTGCTGCTTGACGATAAGGTCTCCTCCCACGAGAGGCAATGCATTCAAGGTCAGCACGCTGACCTTGAGTGCCGCGTCCTTCCAAACCGTTGCGGCAATCATCGTTCTCCATATCAGATGCATATGACACATGATGCCGTCGGCGCGTTTCTGCGTGTAGCTCCTGGAAGCCGCCCACTTGAGTCCACTGAGTAACTAGATCATCAATCTCGCGGGAGGATATACGAATCATGTTAGTGACATCCTGTGATAACGGTGAGAGGGAGTTATTGAGGTCCCCAGGTGATATTGTGGGCAATTTTGTTGGTATGGTGGATAGCGGTGGCAATCCAGTCCCGGGATTAGACAGCCTGGGGCGGCCTGCACTTTGAAGATATTCCGCGGCTTCACAAATAGCGTGGCTATGTAGCCTATTAAACCGATATATCGACCAATGTCGGGCGATTATCGTGTTTTGAATTTCGTCACGCACCTCTTGGATGGTATCGGTTCCCACAGAGTTTGACGTATTCCTGTATATATATTTACTCTTTAGCTTTCCAGATTTCTTAAGAAGAAAAAATTGAAACAATTTTACAGTACCTTTTAAGAAGCCTCCCAAGTTGGAGGATTTGAAACATTACCATCAAGCTCAACTTCAACGCCTCAAGATGAGCCAGCAAATACATAACATGTTGCTTTCTGAAGCAGCGCTTGAACCGTTCCTGAACCGAGCCTCCATCCTTTCGCTTAGATTGTTCCAACATTTTCTCAAAGTCAGAAAATATTGATTGGCTCTGTTTACTAATTTCTTGTGCAGTGCGCAAAGCTGATGACGAATGCGAAGAATCCGCCGCCTGGAGACTTTGCCCAACATGCTTCAAAGCCGTCACGTATAAAGAGACGCCCTTCGCAATGCTATGTACATCTATGCCATCAGCTGCTACCTCACAGGCGACAGTATTCAATGACAAGGAAAGCTTGAGGCCTAGCCCTGTCACTTGAAGGATGGGAGCTGTGTTGACGCCTATTAGCTTTGACGAGTTGGGACCAGAGAAGAGGGCCGTACCTATTTCCGACGACATGGCTCGCCGCGTTTAGATATGACGAGAATCCTAACCGATGCGACAGTAAAGATCCCTCTGGGAGACCAGAACTCAATAACTTGGGACAATAATGCGGTATATTTAATTCTTGATAGAAGTCTCTCGCTCTGTAAGTTGGATTAAACCGAACTCCTGATCACAGTGATGACCGAGACTTGTTCAGAGAAATTCAACTGGACGAGTCGATTGAGGCTGGATAGATATACTGAGCAGAGTCATTAATAGAAGTTACCCAGCAGTTTATGACCGGGAATGTGGTGAGTGAAACATGTCATTGGCCATGGTGCCACCCATCTCGCCTCGTTTGTCGAGTACTTTTTCTTCCGGCATACTGCTTGCACTCGCCATCGCCACTCGTTTTTTGAGCCTCATCCACCGCACTCAGTGACTCTATGATAAGGTTTCCCGGTAAGAGCCCAGCCAGATATGCTAAGTGACATCGTACCGCTCAATATCAATAACTCGGACTATTACGCCCCATTCTGCTGGTGATGTTGCAGATCGCCTGATCTACACACCATAGAGGAGGGTTTGATTCTAGGGCTAACCGTGCCAAGCGCATCTCACTACCTCCCATTAGTGAGTGTGCCACACCGTAAAGGTAATAACACCGCAACGGTAATAATTTGAAATAGGTATCTTTTGTATGTGATTCTCATATAAAAGATACCTATTTTCATTTTTATGAAAATCATGAATATCTTCAACAATATAATAGATATGAGTTCTATATTATAATAGAAGTATATGATACATATTTCAAGTATATTACAATATTTTTTTCTAAATAAAAATATATCTAAAATGAATTTTACTAAATTCATTCAAATTCATCATAGCAGATTTCAAGTATAAGAGAATGAGAGAGATTTATTATTAAAAAAATATTGGGATATACTTAGAGCATGATACATATACTTCAATTATAATATAGAACTCATATCTACTATAATATTGAAGATATTCATGTTTTTCTATAAGTACTGTTTGTATGATGAACTCATACAAAAGGTACCTTTACCGTTGCGGTGTTATTACCTTTACGGTGTGGCGCACTCACTAATGGGAGGTAGTGAGATGCGCTTGGCACGGTTATATCATAATAACAACCCGGACACGTCAAGTGGGCGATTAAGTTGATGTTGGTATGTTCACAAAGGTGGAAATTCTTTGTTGGAATGTATGATGTGAACTAAAGGAAATTCCCTCAGATAACTGTGAAAATCATCGAGATCATCACAGATTCACACCACAAAATCCCCAGGATCAATGATGCTCCATTCATTTTTCGGCAGGGCTAATGATGCCGAAACTGACGGAATAAGAATAGACGATTTTCGATTCAGCTTTGTTCCACTATTTCCCTCGATCTGGTAACACCCCATCCAGGAAATCACCTAGAGATGGGAGAGTAAACCACGGATATGGGATACCAAAGGGCGCCTGATTTGTGCCAGACACTCACAGGATAATGCCGAAGCAGTCAAAGTGAGGTCTCCGAAACAATGCTCGATTCATGGTTCAACCGTCAACAGAGATGAATTCCAAATTGTCCCAGAAAAAATCGTCCGAGTCGGAATTTGCACGGAAAAGAGGTGTATTTGACTAAGGTGCACTTAGTCTACTCACCCAGGATCCTCAGCCGGAAGCCTGCAAATTTTTCCGTTTGATCTTGGTATATTAATAGCATTCCGTTTAGGATTGAAAGTAGCACCAGGCATTTCCCATGATATGGGAGACTTCTTGCACTGCATCACAGATTGGAAGAGAATGGAGGTTGGTTGATTTCTCAATAGGTTGGCTTCAAGTTGTTTTCGCCTTTCGGATCTAGAAATTTTAATCTTCGTTCGACAATGCGATGGTGGTAATTTTTACTAGTTGCAATATCATAGAATGCTCCCCTATATTATGATGAATGAAAAGACATCCATTTATTACATCCAGCAGACAGACTGAATGTTGGTTGAGGTTCCCAAATCCAGTGAGAATAGCCAATATTCCCTGCACGGAAATATATGCTAACCCTACAATGGATTTTGAGTTGCAAAGTTAAGCAAATAAGATGCTTGTGATAAATATTTAGCCCTCGAAATGAAAACCACCCGTAGAATGTAAAGTCCTTGGATAGATCTTTCACAGCATGAGGTCAAGTTCAAAAGCGTGTTGTGGAATCGACTCCGCTCAAGTTTCGATTAAATAAATACGGAAGGAAGGTTTAGCCGAGCCTCATCTGTTTCTCCCCCAGGACTCGAGACAACCTGATGGTGGTATATCAGAACAACACGATAGGAATGGGCATTTGAATACAAACAGCAGTACTTTATTTCATAGAAATTATGCTGCAGTCGTGAAGCGCTGACCTTCTATTTCACTCTTCAAAGGCCTGGAAGAAAGGTCTCTCGGGCGCGTTAGGGAGACTTTCTTGTTTGCTATTTTGTCCCCTCCGCACCCATCACCTGAAATAATAGCTGATATCTTTTCCCATCGTCAATATATTGAAGAGTGGAGAGTGAGGGGCGGCGTTTGAAGTAACAGGGTTAGCTGAATGAGCAGCACAATCGGGGAGGCTTTGACAGCGCTCATCCGCCCTCACCTTCGTCGATGGGCCTGGTTCTATCTCAGGGTCGAGTTGACGGACTACGGATGCGTCAAGCAATCTGATTATTACGGTCCACCAACTTCTCATTCGAAATAACGCATCTCTAAACGTAAACGATAAAGTTCCAGGTTACTATAATGAACCCCGTTGCCGATGCTTCGAAATGCCTGGATTCCTCCGAAACTGCTCCTGCCCCAGCAAAAGCTGGAGAAAACGGGGCGCTGACACCACCTTGCTCTTCAATACTCTCGAGCACTAATACGAATAAACTAGAAATGGCAAACCTTGTAAAATCAAACACAGAAGGAAAATTACAGCTTGCCGATATTGACGAATTTGGATTGCCTATCCAAAACTTGAACCAGTCCGCGCAGCCGAACAACGATGAACTTCCAGACCCTGAGAATCAGATGAAAACTGCGAAGGAAAGCACACAAGAGTCAAGCTTATCGAAAAACGACGAAGCAGCGTTTGCTACCACATCCAACATAATTTTACAGTCGACTCAGAAGGAACGTGTTTCGCAATCCACATCTACTATTAGTCTCTCCAATATAGCGAAAGAACTCCCAACGATGGATCCTCCCGACATATCAGAGAATCCAAACAAGCCCCAGTCACAAGACTTAGAGGCTTCAAACAGCCACAAGCGCGGGTCAAGCCAGGGGGCTTTCGTTTCGGAATGGTCACATCAACGTATTGCTGTAGACGAGGATGAGGTCAATGAAGATGACAACCTTGATGAAGATGACTGGAAAGATATGCCTGCTTTGGGGGGATTTGATGTTTATGACGATTATGGCAGGATTGTTGCTCGCGGAGCACCCCAGGAAGATGATGCAGCTGTATATCAGGGGTTGGGGGGTGCCGGGAAAGGATACACTAGGGTCCAGATTGACGAAGATGCACAGTCAGTCACCAGTCTAGATGACGATACGAAATACCTTTTCAAGGAGCCAGAAAGCAACGCAATTGGGGTTGAAGAAGAACAACGAGATCCTCTCGCACAATTACAAGCCACGAAAGATCTTCTAACTGAAGGACAAAGAATTGCATACGTTGGGGTGACAAGGCTAATGATCTACCAAATGGTAAAAGAGGTTGAGGCTGTTCATCCATCAAGATCCACAAAGAAGTACATAGTTTCGGCAATCGATTCCATGGCCAAATGGGGCCAACAGATGATGATACGGCTGTATACACATATGGATATTGACTCTGCGGAACAAATCATGATCGAGCAGCTGGCAGAGCATGGTGTCCAACCAGCCGACCTTGTCCCACCACTTATGAGAAATTCGCGAATTAAAAACCCTATGTGTAGCGAGACTACGTTCAGACCTTCCACTTCCTCTGCTGCGGCGGAGGATAAGCCCCCTAATTCAAGTGAAACATCGGTAGCTTCCGAACCGCGCTCGTCGCCATCCGTACTACCCCCTCCCTACGACTACCGCGGCGATGAAGATTCGCCAAATGTCAAAATTCCGTCCGAAATGCCGGCGTCAGAAAGTATTGACGTCGATATTCGATGGACTGTGCTCTGCGATCTCTTTTTAGTTCTTATTGCGGACTCAACGTACGATGCTCGCTCACGGCGATTATTGGAGCGAGTTGGAGAGTCCTTGAATGTGTCATGGTCACAAATATGTCGGTTTGAAAAGCGGGTTATTGATGCTTTGGAAATGCAAGAGGAGAAAAGTAAGGAGACCTGGGATGAGGCAGGAAATATGGAAGCGCGGCGGAAACAAGCGCTAAAGAAGAGATATATGATCATGGGCCTTGCAACCGTGGGTGGGGGATTGGTAATTGGCCTCTCAGCAGGGTTGCTTGCTCCAGTTATTGGTGCGGGTCTTGCGGCGGGGTTTTCTACTATTGGAATCACGGGGACTGGTGCCTTCCTAGGAGGCGCTGGCGGTACAGCACTCATAGCATCTGGTGCTACGCTTACTGGTGGAACAATTGCAGTCCGAGCGTCCCATAGAAGAACTGGTGCCGTAAAAACGTTTGAATATCGGCCCTTGCATAATAATAAAAGGGTCAACCTTATTGTTACCGTTTCTGGGTGGATGACTGGTAAAGTCGACGACGTCCGATTACCGTTCAGTACTGTGGACCCTATCATAGGTGATATCTATTCCGTTCTTTGGGAACCGGAGATGCTTCAAAGTATGGGAGATACTATTAATATTCTCGCTACAGAGGTATGTACTGTACCATTTATGGATGAATCATCTGCAAATTCGTAATTCTAACACAATACAGGCTCTCACTCAAGGCCTTCAGCAAGTCCTAGGAAGTACTATCCTTGTCGCTCTAATGGCGTCTTTACAACTGCCAATTGTGTTAACCAAGCTTTCGTATTTGATTGATAATCCGTGGAATGTCTCCCTCGTCCGAGCCAATGCAACCGGCCTCGTCATGGCAGATTCCATCATTGCTCGGAACTTAGGCAATCGACCTATAACCTTGATAGGCTTCTCCCTAGGATCACGCGTAATCTTCTCTTGTTTGAAGGAGCTAGCGAGCAAAGGTGCCTATGGGCTAATTCAAAACGTCTATTTGTTCGGTTCCCCAATAGTCGCAAATAAAGACGAATATATGAAAGCGCGAAGCGTTGTATCTGGCAGGTTCGTTAATGGCTATGCTTCCAATGATTGGATTTTGGGGTACCTATTCCGAGCAACCAGCGGTGGAATTATGCGGGTAGCCGGTCTTGCTCCTGTTGAGAATGTTCCTGGCATTGAAAACATGGATGCAACGCAGTTCGTCAATGGGCACATGGCCTATCGCGCGGCGATGCCAAAACTACTTCGCCAGCTAGGCTGGGAAGTGGAGAGCGATGAGTTTACTGAAATCGAAGATCCTGACCCGGACAAACATTCGGAAAGACAGCGAGAGTTGATTCGCGAAATCGATGAAGCACGGAAAGAGGCTGAGGCACAGCCTGACAAAGCTAGGTTTGGTTTCTTCAAACGTGGAAAACTGGCCGAAAAAAAGGGGTGGGAAACTTACGATGTCGATCACAAGGACCATGCTTCACGACGTTCTACCGAGAGCGGTGTCGGTTCTGCTTCTGATCATGTTCTGTTTGATATCGATGCTATCCGCGCCGAGTTAGAATCGGAGCAAATGGAAGTGAAACAGTTAGAGTCCACTCTACCCCCGATAAAAATTGATCTCAATGCACCGTCCCCACTGCCTCGATATTCATCAAATGAGAAGCCTTCGGCAAGTTCCGAGACGGTATCGAATACGGAGATGCGAGAAACCGATGACTACCCTTACCGTTTATCTTCGGGAACAACATCGCGTACTGATATTGGCCGCCCACGAAACTCAGACGAAGTCAACCATGACAATCATGAAGACAACATACAGATGACTTTTGATACGTCATATGTCAGCCCTCCTTCATACTCACCACCGGCCTTGGCTTCATCTTTATCCCACGACTTGTCCCGTGATTTGTCCTCTAGGAATTTAACCCCATCGCCAATACCGTCTCAAGGAGCCAGCCCAAGGTTTGGCAGTATTAATCTCAACCACAATGCGTGGGCTGATGACGATTACGATGAACGAAAAGATGGAGATATTAAGATGACTTTTGGGTAGTGAACAGCATTCGAAGGCGCTAGGTGTTCTTTGTTCATTCTCTTTCTTCGACAATACTGTCGCTGTATATATCGGTATATACCAGTCTCCATCTTCTACTTATGTATATAATCCATGCACCTGCTTTAAGACTCGTCCATATCTATTCTTAAATGGACAAACGATGATTTTCAATGATTTTGCCAGCTTGAGGCAGCCATTGTTTGTATCCACTAATTTTGACTCTGTCTTTTGTCTTTTGTCTTTTGATTCCATTTTTGAGTGATCTAGTTGTCAAATTTTCATCCAGAACATACATACATGTATCCACTAGTTATGTAAAGTATACCCTTTGCAGCATCTTTAGGCAATTGCTATTTTGTTCTCTTCATAGACGATGGGTGCTCTTGATGATGGGCTAACCGGGTTTTCTAAATACTATTTGCAAAAATACCGGAGGTGCATCTGTAGTTATGTTTATGTAGTTTTATTAAAGTATTGAAGACGACATGAAGTTTCATACTTACTATGAGTTTGTTGCAGTGTATACATACTGGATGTAGAGCGAAAGCCGTGCTTGGCAATCTCGAGGCAGAATTGGTCGTCTGCGCGTCCAGTCCATTAACCCATCCTGAGCTGGCGTGAAGCTAATAAATAACGCCCCAGCCTACGCTCCATGACTGAATTGCAACTGTGTCCTATTCCAACGCGACAACTGGGTTAATTTTGGAGATACGGCTGCTCCTCTTCGCGAATGAAGAGTGTTTGTCGCACTTGATCCTCGTCAACAGGTCCACAAGACTGTGAATTTGCCCATCGAACCTTTACGGACCTGCCGCCTACTAAATAGCTCGCCATCGCTCATCTGAACAATGGTCTCTCGACGACCTGATTCTAGCTATGCGTCAAACCTCCAAACGAAACACAATTATGTGGGAGGTGCTCCTCTAAGCCAGGCTGGGGGCCGGTTGATAAACCATAGAGAATCGGTTTCAGGGCACAGTGCCTCGACAAGCAGGAAGAATAAGCCAGAACCTGCAACGGACGACGAACCACTTAGCTCCACGGACGAAAGCGAACAATTGAACACTCATTCCGAAGTCTCACTTTCTCCTGAGCCTGAACCCAGACGGAAATCAAACGGATGGTCGCAAACCGAAACGACGGGCAGATTGGATAAACAACCACAAAGCGAAGCCGACATCAGAGGCGAGGATGATAAACGGAACCCAAAGCGGAGGAAAAAAGCCGTTGATACCCCGCGGAAAAGAGAAAAACAATCGGGAAAGATGAAGCCTTCTCCACCTGCGTCGTCTAAGGAGACTCCGTTTAGGGCTACTTTCAAAATGGAAAGCGATGCTCTTTTCTCTTGTCCTAGGCCTCCTCCAATGAAATCATTTTATGGAAGCGCCAATCTACATACTGCTTTGAAGAAGAAGCCATCCAAACAGTTCAAAGTTCCTCCTTCTACCGCGAATGAGGATTCCGCCATCCATTCATCCCAGATCTCCTCAGATGGCCCCAAATTCAAAACTCCTCTATCTTTTCCAAACGAAGTCACATCTAGTTCATCGTTTTTCAATGGCACATCACCGTTCGATGATGATGATGGCTCCTCATTGTCCTCACTAAGTTCAGTATCTTCTTCCGTAAGCCTTCAACTATCACAAGCCGAAAAGCAAGCTCTTGAATCCGCCACCCTCAGAGCTAAAGCGGTAATTTGCCCCATGTGTGGCCAGGCTGTTGATCCCAGGTTCATAGATGATTTAAGGTCCAATCAGGGCCTTAGTTACAGGAAGAAAGCCCAGTTCTGCAGGGATCACAGGATCAAAGCCGCAAAGCATCAATGGGCTGAGAGGGGGTATCCAAAGATTGATTGGGAAAATCTTCACAAGCGCATTGAGAAACATTATGCGGAGCTGGATGAAATTTTAACACGTAAAAAGCCTTCCTTTTACAGAAATGTGCTAGAATCTTCTCGTACTGGAAAAAAGAAAGGAAGCCTACGCTTAACGGTTGATGGAGATGGAGTGGAGAAAATCTCACCTGGATATTATGGCCCCTGGGGGGCAAAAGCTATGTAAATGCGCCTTTCTCCCACCCCCCAAACGTTTCTACAAAAGCTCGTTAAATAACTAATTCCGACATTTTCCTAGGATGGATGCCATCATTGGCCAATTTGCGGGCAAATTCAAGCGCCTAGCGCCTACCGATAACCTGATAAAAGCTGCTGGGGTATCTGGATTTGTGCAATCCGTTATGGTTCCGGAGTTAACAGTAATGCTGGTTAAGGATGATATGGACATTGAAGACGCAGACGCTCGTCAGGTAATGAGGGACAGCACGGAAATTGGAAATCTGATCAATGAGCAGCCAGATGATATCATTAAACAAGCTGTCAGAATATGATGATAGGTATTTGGATTGTGTCTGATGGGTTCTTTATCGTGAGAAGCTACTTTTCTACAAATTGTGCGATTATGTTCGACTAACATGCCACTTCACTTATGTTTCAATTTGTATCCCTTTTCTCCCAATTCACCACCCCCGCATTACTCCTTGCGCGTTTCAGCATCTATTACTCTACGAGAAAGAATGTATGATGGGTGGCCCTGAATGTCATTTATAGATATATTTGTGATTTTCCGTCAGATGAAGGTTACAACTCAATTGTGGACTCGGCCACCTGATTATACGAGTGTGATTCAACCAGATCATCAATCAGTCGACTCCCGCTAATCGTAGACATTTCTCAAGTGCCAATGCTTTCGTACTGGGCATGCACCCTCATCCGGTCGTATGATATCTGTGGCATAAATGAAGACTATTAAAAATCACCTTGCAACGCCACCAGACGGAAATGTCATAACCGCACAATACGCGGGGCTCACATCACATCACAAGCTCGAAATCCACACTTCCGCAGGATTCTCTCAACTCAAACTCCAAGAATTCCAAGAATTCAAATTTTAAGACGCCCTTTTACCCTTATATGCTAACCAGAACACAATTAAGCCGTACGTAGCCATTAAACTGAGGCTAACAGGGACAGGCTTCCTCGTCTTCAGCGCTCTGGGAATCGAACTTCCCGCTAGCATAACAGAGGCAATTAAACTCAATTCTTCGCCATGGGGCTGTTCACTGTGAAAACGGAAATAGCTGAAAGCGTAAATGGCGCCCACACAGAGGCCGGCGGCAATGGAGGCAATGGAGCCGGTGCGTGCATAGCCGATAATCCCGCCACAGGATGTCAGGACGGACAGGGCAGCAGCCGAGTTGTGGACACTTTGAGAGGAAAGCTGTTGGAGTGGGTGTTAACTGCTATATAAAGGTGTATTAAAACAATAAACGGAAATGGGGCGGTTGGGGTGCAAAGGGAGGGTAGCTGTAGCATGGGGAAGGTTGGAGGGGGGGTGTAGAGGACTTCAGCGATGATGTTGCGTTAGGTGGCTAGGATAAGCTTCGTACGCACCATTTTTATTGCATATTTTATTGAGTTACCTCTAGCCTGAAATGAAGGACAATGCCTTATATAGCTGCTGATATGAAAGTTGTCCACGAAGAGCAGCGACGGAAGCTTATTCTGATAACTTGGATGCTAGAGAATGGAGCTTGGACCACCATCCAACGCGAAATCACGTGAATATTTGGTCATGTGATATGAGACTACCATGGCTTGTGCTGGCTTCTGGCTTCAAGAAATATTGTGGATGCGCAGCTTATTTGAATCAGAACTTCAGAAACCATCGTCCGCTTACGCGCCTAACGGAGCAGCGATACTGAATCGAAGAGAATACCACTACCACTACCTCTTTTCAGGCAGCGTTCTTGTCTTGGAGCTGTCTCGGTGGGTCAAAGCTCTTTCACCATGGCTCCCAAACGCCGTGTGGCATCAGGCCAACCAGCTGCCAATTCCTCTTCACCTCCCACACCGTCAAAGACGACTCTCAATCCAACGTCGACACAAAGCCATTCGACAGGCGCCTCCCTTTCTGTCAATTCCCGAACTCAGGACATCGTGGTTGGCATCTGGCAGCGATATCTGACGCAAACACCTAAAAGAACCCTTATGTTAGATTCATTCATGGCATTCCTACTTATTGTAGGAGGCGTACAATTTTTATACTGTATACTGGCCGGGAACTACGTAAGCCGCTCCCCCTCTTCTTGACTTTTTTATTCATTATCTCGTGCCGCAATTTCTTCAAAAACAAAAACCCGTTCACCTAACAATGTTAAAACCAATCACTCCATTTAGCCATTTAATGCGTTTCTCAGTGGCTTCTCTGCTGCTGTCGGTCAATTCGTTCTCACTGCTAGTTTGAGAATGCAGACGAGCCACCAAGGTGGGAAAGATGGGAAATCTACGTCTACGTCCAAATCCGTTTCGAAGCCGGCGAATGGAGATCTCCCGTCGAATGGATTGTCTAGTGAAAGGTTCGTTATCCTCCGAGTTACAGTTTGCCAGATTATTAGTCTATTCCGTTATTTTTTGGCTTTTTGCACATGATGGCTGCAAGTTTTATAGGGGTCTTTAAAAATACCATGCGTGGCTGAGACTGATCCGTTATTTTTGACAGGGCATTCGCGGATTACGTGTTTGGCAGTTTGATACTACATTTCTTCTGCATCAATTTTATTAACTAGGCTGGCTCCTCTTTTCTTTTTCTTTTCCGTCTCTTCTGTTGTGATCTGTTTTTTTAAAGCAGCTTGTAACTATGCATGTTATATAAACCACCTCAGGTCTTTTAAAACAATTATGTAGACTATATCCTGTGTTTCTCTCTGGTTGTTGCGGTCTTTTGGCATTGGATAGCATGGCACCAGATATGTCTGCAAGGGTAGCCAATTCGTAAATATGTTATTTTATATCCTTTGTAACCCAGAACAATGTAGATAAGAGAGTAAATCCTGACCTTTTTTTGGGTTGTCAAATACCTAGCTCCATTCGGCTGTTGGTCTCGTATGACACAAATACACAGGTAAATTTGCTGAATTTAAATCTAACCAGCATCAATGCTGTTATATGTTTATAAAGCGAGAAACTAACATTAAAAACCCCTCGCCCCTCTCTTCATAATGGGTCTTCTAACCAAAGCCCCAGCAGGGACATAAGATCCAGGCTTCCTCACTGGCAGTTTTACTACAGGTTTCATCCCTACATGAGCAGAGCTACCTTCCGCATCCTGCTTCCGTCGCAGTGTATCCTCTTCAGCAGCTTTCCGTTTTTGCTCAGCTGCACGTTCGCGATCAGCAGCCATCTGTGCCTCGATTTCCATCCGCCTGTTGAATTCATGCTCCGTCACACGGCGCTCACGGGCCGAGTAACCTTTTTCTTTTATCGAGTAGAAAACTCCACCTAGGTCCGCAAGCCACTGGAGATTTTGATGTTTGTGTTAGTCATTTTGACACTATGAAGTATTTTGATGTGGTCGGTTCTAAGGAAGACGGGAAAAGTATATCTTGAACAAAAATAAGGAAAAAAAGAGAAGTTAAAAGCTTGCTGAATCAGAACATACCCGAGGGTCCACAGATGTAACGGTAGACATATACTCCTTGCTCGTTAGAATCAATTCGTGGTATACCACATAGTCGGGAAGGTAACCAAGACCGTATAGCGCGCTCGTAGGGTGAAGTTGTATGGTTACGCTAGTGCGGAGATTAATATACTCGCCAATCCCTTTGACCCTGGCAGCCTGGTGGTAGTAGCCAGAACATATACACTTTCGTATAACGTCCCAGTCAGTTCCGCAGCTAGTTAGGGTCATTTTCTGCATCGCCATGATATCGTAAAGCTGTTCACGGATTTCCTTGGCTCGACGTAGAGCTTTGGCCGGAGGGGGGGATGTTTTATGCACCATGCATCCGAGTAGCCGTTCGATTTCCACTGTGTGTATACATGGAGCAGAGTCAGATGGTCGGATTCAGGCACGAAAAATTTCTCTCGGGCAGCATCTGATTCTTCCTGGCGCTCTTTGGGCCGGTAGAATACACCAGGTACGGAAAGCATTGAAACAATCGTTAGCATCTCCTCACTACAGTCATATTCTTCAGACGCGCTGATGAGAAGCTTCGCGAGAGATGGGTCCATTGGAAAAGCACTCATGCGGCGACCCATTGGTGTCAAGTCTCCAAGATTATCAATGGCGCCCAGTGCCCAGAGATCAAAGAGCGACGTAGTAATAGTGTCCTGTGGCGGTGGGTCCATAAAGTCGAAATCGAGCAGATCCTTGACCCCTAAGGATTTCAACAAAAGCACTGTATTGGACAGGTTTGTTCGCTGGATTTCAGGGATGGTCTGGATGTATAATTCGTTTTTAAACGCAAGTTCTGTGAACAAGTGATAAGCTTTGCCAGGTCCAGTTCGTCCAGCACGACCAGCACGCTGCGACGCGTTCGCTTGCGAGATGGGTGTGATTTGGAGGGTGTCCATTCCCATTCGTGGATTATAAACCTTTAATTTAGAAAATCCAGCATCGACCACATACATGATTCCATCGACAGTTAAACTAGTTTCCGCAATGTTGGTGGCAACAATCACCTTCCTAACTCCGGGCGGGGCCCTGTCGAAAATTTTTGCTTGCAGGTCAGCCGGCATCTGACTGTATATTGGCAGAATGCTAATCTTCGGGGGGTCATTTAGGAGGGCTAATCGCTCTGCTATTATTTCACAAGTCACCTCGATATCCTCTTGCCCGGTCATGAAAACAAGAATATCCCCAGGTCCTTGCGAAACATGGATAGCCAAAACTTGTTTCACTGCACTGTCGACATAGTCTTCACAAGGTGATCGCGAGTATTGAATATCTACAGGAAATGTCCGTCCAGGGATGAAGAACTCTGGAGCTCCGCCGTAGAATTTCGAGAATCGTTCTGCGTTCATGGTGGCTGAAGTGACAATGAGCTTCAAGTCCCGTCTACGGGCAAGAACTTTTTTAATGAGACCCATCAAGACGTCCGTATTCAAGGCCCGCTCATGGGCTTCATCCATGATAATACAAGAATATTTGTCAAGGTCAGGTTGAACCAGAGACTCTCTTAACAGCACGCCGTCGGTCATATCTAATGATCACATAGAAGTTAGTTGGTAATCCCTCATGTTACAACCTCAGGAATTTCATAACGCACATTTGATAGCTGTTTCATTGCTGGTGCAATCCTCAAAACGAATGGCATATCCAACAAGACCTCCCAATTTAACCTCCATCTCCTCACTGACGCGCTTCGCGACACTCATCGCAGCGACACGTCTTGGTTGCGTACAGCCAATCATTCCAAGTTTTGCATATCCATCCTCGTAAAGAAATTGCGTCAATTGGGTGGTTTTTCCTGAACCAGTTTGCCCAACGACAATTACTACCTGGTTATCCCTGATAACCCTTAAAAGCTCCTCTCTGACTGCAAAAGCTGGCAAATACTCCCGCTGCTCCTTAAGCGATTTGCTCTTGCTAAAAGCACTGGCTCCTTCACTCTTCTTCAAATGCTCCGCAAATTTACTACCCTTATGTTGGCCCTCCTCCTCCGCAGGGATCGCTGCTGCACTATCTCCATCATCCTCCTTAATGCCCATGAGATTCCCTAGTGCCGTCCCAGCCATCTTAGTAGCATCCTGTGCCTGCTTCTGTCGTTCCTTCTGCGCTCTCTTCTCGCGCACAACCTTACTTCCCTTCCGGCTGAACACTGCCATATCACTCTGTGGATCCCGCACAGCAGAGACAGGATCCAGTTGCTTTGTAAAAACCGTCCGGCCGTCTAGAAACGGTGGGCGCAAATCATGCACGAGCAAATGAACACGAGTGGATTCTTCATCGTCGTCAAAGTCGGCATCGTATTCTCTCCTCTGTGCCACGCCAGAGGTCAACATGCGATTCGTCTCCCAGGCGTCGACATCCTTCTGCTTCTGCGCTGCGCGGGCACTAATGCGCTTGTTATTCTTCCTCTCGGACAGTGCTGCTTCGCGCTGTTGATCCGCCCATGTGCTGTCCGCCCCACCGAACGGGTTATGAGTCTCGTCACCGAAGGTATGTCCTAATTCGTCACCTGTGTACCAGTCCCGATCTAGTGCGAGGGTGTCTTCGATATCGACAAGTGATTCTGGGCCTTGAAACGCCTCCTGGTGAGGGGTAGAATCTCCATTGCGTATGCCGCGGGGAGTGGACGCACGACTGGTGCTGACAAGCTTGTCATCTCGGTTAGTTTGTAGTCGACTTCGTGGGGCGTAAAGGTGTCTGGATGGCTGGCTGGACGAAGTTGGAGTCAAGCGGTCTGAGTCCAGCTTCCGGCGCTTAGGGCTGCCTTCTCGGGCCATTGCTTATTTCAAGCAGGTTGAGCTAGAGGACATCCATCCCGTTATAGCTGTTCGTCGAGTTGGCTGAACATGTGAGATAGTTATGAATCTCTGCTTAGTTAATTTCTCATCAGCCAATCAAAATTTGGAGTGGAAAATAAATTTTCCAGGGTAACTGCTTGGCATTCCTTGGTAATTTATCAAAATGCATTGGTATCAGGATACGCGCCAAACATAAAACACCATGCCAGATATCGAAAAGAAGAAACAGACAAATTGAAAATAAATGCATTAAATAAATAAATGTAGCACCTAGCAGAAATGGATGACAAAGTGACCCCTGAATCAAGTCTATTCTTATCTGCACATCAAAAAACCAAGGTGTCCTTGAGGTCAAATCCTTTCAGTGCAGTTTCAATCCCATGATCTCTCCGCTGATTCAATTTCTGTTGGAATTATGACTTTGCTCCTTCAAGGAAGCTTTGAAAATTGTATACAAGTTATCCCATAAAATAGGTAGGTTGTATGGGAAAATAAGAAAGAAAGGAAATGACAACTAGGAGAAAAGGTAAGAAAAATCCTCGCCGCTGTCAAATTGGTCGAATCGCCATCACACCCTTCCAACTCTCTTTAACCACACTTCCTGCCTCTCGTCTGCTTCGTTTTCGCCTCCCCTTCCTCTTCATGATCCTAGATCTCAACGTCACTTCATCAGGTCTTGCTCGAGGCCTGGGTTGTCGCAAACAGCTACAATTCTGCATTGTAGTCACTCGCGAGCGTATCCCTAGACCAGGAAACGTGTTCGCGAGAGTCAGTAAGCCTCGCCACCTGCACCATTGTGCGAAGGGGCCACCATAGTGGAATATCCGTATGTTGCGCCGGCCTGTTCGTTGGGGTCCAGGTTCGGGCTCAATATGTTGCTGGAAGTCTCGGGTGCGACCGCGAAACCTGGCCCCGCTGGATTGCCAGCACCTGGGGCACCGCTTCCAGTTGCCCCGACTGGTCCGCCGTACCCGCTGCTCGGTGGCCGGTTCTGGTTCTCCCCCCTTGAGGATTGGGTCTCAAACCAATCAATTCAATTGTTCAGATATTGCGTCCCCCCCAAGTTGAGGCAACAAAAGGAAATTACATAAGAAATTAGGAGGAGCAGACAGGTAATCAGCCTATACTCACTTCTCGATATTTTGAAAGATATATCTTCAGCGCTTCGGAGTAGTTCTCGAATCCGAGTGAGGTCATCGCAAAGAGGATGTCTTCCCCATTGACCGTCTTCCTTTTCTCTTGTTGACATTTTTCCGAAGCTGCAAGTTTAGAAGGCGTAAATTAGTTCTCAAATATCGTTGTTGTGCATCGCCAAAAAATGGAAGGGGCAGAATGCATACCTTTCGCTGGTGATGAACGAGATGAACTCGCTCACACATTCTTGCATGCATTCTTTCGCCTCCTTCGCGATCTTGGCGTTGTCGGGGAGAGCGGTTTTCATTATGCGAGCAACTAGAGCAAATCGCGGATGTTAGCATGATGTAGTGAAAAGTGGACCAGAAGGGGTGCGCTGCTATCCTAAGCAGGTGTAACTGATTGAAAAAAAAAAAAAAAAAAAAAAAAAAAAAAAAAAAAAAAAAAAAAAACCCTTCCAGTCGGATATTTGAAAGCTGTGGTGGGATAACGAATAGCCAGTGACCACCCGGTAAAGGTAGAAAAGGCAAATCAGAACACAGGAGGAGTATGCACAATTCAAAGCCAAAAAAACTCAACATGCAAGAACGCGCTTAACGAACCATTTGCAATTGGAAGCCATCGATCCTGCTCTTTCACCTCAAATTCTCCCTGACCTTGCGCTTGTGTATCTTGGTGTTCTCGTTCCATATGCTCCGCGTCTTCGCCTGACTGAGTTCCTGGTTCCACCTCTGGTTCCTTTGGAGGAGAGGCCGACGACATGATTTTTACGTCTTTTGGATACGCGCACGGGAATTACCGTCGACAGGGACTAAATGACCACGTCACTCCTCTCGAGTCCCAGGATCTGCGGGTTCTATGCAGCCCTGCGTCAACGTACGTCAGACTGGGCAGCTATTTGCTTCACAACAGCCCTGAACGGGGACTTCAAAAATCATGGTGTGGGGAGAGAGGGCACTCGAGTGGCTGCTTCTTTCGTCGGTAACCTACCGGGTTGCTGCGCTATAATGGCGCCTCTATTGAACGGGACCAGCACAGTTAATTCTCAAACGCGCTGTTGGCGCGCACTGGCTAGCAACCCTTCTTTAAAATCTAGCGATGCGATCGGGAGGTATGGCGTGGGAATGGTGGATAAAGCTAAACGGGTTGGGCGGTGATGGGTGGGATAACGCGGGTCAATTGACCAGGAATAGGGCACAGCCAAATTCCAGGTTGGGCTGATAGTTCTTGATTCGGCTGCAGCAACGGAGCTACGCGTTGTGCAACGAGGTTGTTACCGTTCTTCTAATTTGTAGACAAACCAGTTGCACGAGAGAAATATAGGAACGAGATGGCCAAAAGCGAGCAGGTCATAGATCAAAGTAGCAATTTGGCAGACTCGTCTCAAGTGACAGGCCCAGACAGCCTCACCCACCCCGTTTTCTTGCTTCCCGTCTCCTTGTATATCTATCCGCAGCTCTCCGTCACTCTTTCTTTCCCTTGCTCACTTTTGCTTTCCGGAATCCAGCGGTGAGTTCCGGTGTTCGCGCCGCGCACAACGTCGATGAGCTAGCGAGTTAACTTGGCGGTCTGGCCGGGTCAACAGGAGGACAAAACTCAAAGCAAGTCGATTGTGGCTGGGAATGAAAATGAAGAGGAAGATAAAACTAGGGGATCTGTTGGGCGTCTCGGGCGTCTTGGATGTCGTGGAGCATAGCTGGACGGAAGAGAACCGCAAGAATTCCACACTGGCTGAGAAGACATGGGTATTTCAATACGGCAACCACCAGGTAAATATTACGCAAGCTCAACCCAGAAGGCGGTGTTGGAGGCGGTAATCGCGATACAGGTAACCACAGAAAAAGCAAAAAGCAAAGAAAAAAAAAAAAAACAACGGCCCTTAATTCAGAAATAATGGCGATGAGAAAAGCCAGGTATATGAGTTTTTACGCAGCGCCGCATGGAAGCTTTGACGACGTCAAGAAGATTCCAGCAAATGGCCAGGACGGGTTCCTAGCTGTTGTTACCCTCGAATCATCGTTCGGTATATATGGGAAAAAAGCATGACAACAGACGCGACAATTGGGTGGGCTACTCCGTACACCGGTAGACGTCTCTTGCGGAACCAGTCAAAACCCGCCAATTCTCTGGCTTCTCCCAGTTGAAAAAAACGCGGTTGGCTGAGCGAGTCTGGATTCCAGAAATTAAAATGTCCTCAAAACTCCGCCGAACCCTGGGAAAACATTCGTCTTACCTAGGTTGAATGTTGGCTCTCTCTTACGACAACCAAACCCAGAAAAATATCAAACATCAAACTTGTTTCAGTTAGTTGGGAAATTCCTTTACCCGCGCTATGTTTTGAACAGCCTGAAATCATCCGCACGCGCTCTCATCACTTTTTCGAACAAAATACTGAGTGGGTGCTTCTCTGGTGTGCCCAAAATGTTCGCTACTGCAGTGGGGATTCACCTAAATGCATGGTGACCATGAAGTGTCCTTGCATTGGCGTTGGCTTTTTAACCACCTTTTTGTTTTATCAACTTCTCCTCAAGAGTAAAATTCCCACCTAAAATTGATGTTTGCCCGGCTATCCCGACCTCGTCGACACTTCAACGACACACGGGAACTTAGAACTACGCTTCCTGTTGAGATGTTCTCTAGGCTGCGTTATGTTTGGGCTCCATCCATGCGGTAGACTTTGAAACTAACGCACCTCTCGGTACCCAACGAAAGGCCGTGAAACTTGGGACTGGGGTAGGCCCCTCAACATGTTTGAAAGATAAGGCTTGTTTTTAGCGCATCCATGAGCATGGACTCAACTTTTGGGGAGATTCTGAATTCGAAGAGGGGAAGGGATGTTGTGGACTGGCTCTGCCAACTCAGTGGGATGAATGAGCATGGCAGGCACATACCGAACATCTGCAGCTTACTGCAGGAGACAACCCTGGAACGATTGTAGTTGGGTGATATCACTTTGCATCGTGCAAGTGGGGGAAGGTGTACTCCGTACGTTGTAGGAACAAACAAAATTCTCCGTCTGGTGCTCGAGCGGAGGAGAACCAAACCGTCCCTCCAAGTCCATGTCGCCGAATATAGATCATTAAGCAAGGGAACCAGCTGATTTCCATGAAAGCAATGTAAAAGTGATATAAAATATCAAAACAAGAATTTTCGGATCCCATTGGAATATTATTTTCCTGGAACCTATTCAGTGCTTGACTCCTCCCCATAATCCCAGAATATTCTCCTCCTTTTTCATGTACTTTCTGATTCTTTTTTTTTTTTTTTTTTTTTTTTTTTTTAGAGTATGCGTTAGGCACGCCTGCATAGAAAACAAATGGTTCGTCGTCCAAGAAAAATTGCATCATGGACCACACACCCTGACCGCCAGGTTGAACACCCCCCCAAAGGAAGTAAAATAATAAAATCAATAAATCAATGACAAGACGGTACCCAAAGTAGAACACGAACTGTGACGTGTGCAAAGTCTACGGAGTACAGATCATAGAGCAAATTATTTCGTTAAAAATTTCCAAATTCCGGGCTTGCCTGGGCAACAATGCCTTTGTCCAGGTCCACCCCCGCACGGCCAGCCCTCCCCCAAAAAAAAAAAAAAAACTTTTACGCCAAACACCTCCAATGCAGATGATGTTGTTAATGATGCCAGACGGCTGCGAGACGCTGTTGATAGATAGCGTCCGGAACCATGCATTCCGCATTGGAAAAAATTCCAGCCCGGTTTTATCCCTTTCCTGCTATTCCCGCACGACTTGGACATTATTCTTCTTCTGTAGAAGCCAATGGTCACCAGTTAGTTAGTAATCATAATATAACAAGTTTCCGCTTCAATCACCGCCAGTAGAGATAAATAGAAGAAGAAGAAGAAGAAGAAGAAGAAGAAGAAGAAGAAGAACAAGAACAAAGAGTAAAACAAAACAGATCCCACAAAACAAAACAGATAAAAAAACAAACCTTCCACCCATCCAACTCATCCTGCTTCGCCTTGTACTGCTTCAGCAACTCATCCAGCACCTGCTTCAGCCCGTCCGAATTAGTCTTGAGCGGCGGGATCACGTCCTTCACCGTCCGCTCCACGAGCACGCCGTTGATCATCCGGAAACATTTGCGGTCGCCGGGGAGGGGCTGTAGGGTGTCGATGACGAGTCTGTGGGGGTGGGGGACACACAATGAAAGTGTATGGAAGTAGGCGTGAGTGAGTGAGGATGGATGGGGGTTATTGTGCGTTGTGGGCGGCGCTGTTGGGGGAGCTCGGGTTTAAATGGTGAAAGGAAGAGGATAGGGGTAATTGGGTAAGGTGAGGC